GTACGGGCTTCCTTAGGTTTCTTGATGTTCCCCAACCTCGTTGCCATCGCATTCCACCTTGGAGCATAAGGGGTGTGGCTGTCCATTGAAGCTGCAAGGTGGGGGCATCACCTAGAGTATAGGGGGTATATATTGCGGGGGATGTGCTCTGGCGGAGTAACAGTCTTGGGACCTAAAGATAGAGGAGTCTGAGTGGTTTGGATGAAGGTGGGGTGGTGTTGAGCCCCTGAAAAGGAGACTTTCCCATGCCTCAGCCTCTGAACACAAGTCAGGAAAAATCTGTATTGGGCAATGGCAGTGTCCATAGTGGGTAAATTTCTACCCGTGCCAGATGCAGGCCACAGGTTCAAGTGCAGCCTAGCCTTCTTTGATCTTCCCAGGTAAGCGGGGACCTCCTGGGACACTTCAGGTTCAAGCCCGTGGTAGTCACAACTGCTGAGGAATCTGGGGCACACTGAGTATTAGGTCAGTGTGGACACATCCTGCATTTTGTCCAGGTCTTGGCTGAAGACTGGGGGCGATGACAGGCACAAGTGGGGTCAGGCAGCCTGAGGGTCCCTTGCCACTTCAGCACTGAGGACTGGACAGCGTTCTCAGGACAGTTTGGCAAAGGCAAAGGAGGGATAATTGTGTACCCTACCTTCACCCCTCCTCCCTGAGTGCACCCAGAGGGTCAGAAGACAGAACTCTCTTTGAGGGTCTAGTTGTGGGACACTGGCCTTGTGGGGCTTGGGATCTGGGACATGTACTCAGGAGGTTGGGACCAGAGCTCCAAGAGATTACAGACAATTTCTAGATGTCACCTAAGTGTAGCGTTGTAGAGCTCCAGATTACAAACCCTCCTTATCGATGGTCTCCTCACAACAGCTCAGGAAACTACACCTGAATATTGCTCTAACAGATGAAGGGACACAGAGAGGGTAACTGATGTCTCCAAGTCACACAGCCAGGGAGGGTTTTGAGTCAAGGCTCAAACAACTGTCTTCGTGGTCACAGGTTTATCAGAAATGTGCAGGCCTCTCATGGAGCTGAGATCCCAGGATATGATGGGCCAGAGGAAGGCGTTTGGGGGTAAGGATAACTTTGGATTCTAGACCACATGCATGTAGGGCAGGAGTTCTGCTTAGGCTGGATGACGCTCAAGGGTGTGAGGAGGAATCAGGGATCCCAATAGTCACACTGTCTACGCCTACAGCCTGAGGTACCCCTGAAGACCCATCATAGGCAGGATGGAGTGGCAGCCTTGGGCCTAAGGTCACAACTGTGACTTCTAACCTGTCTCTCCCCTTCACTCTCAGGGCGGGGGCTGATGTGAAGCAGAGCAAGGAGTCTAGGGCCCAACATTTAAGGAGGCGCTTACCCTGGTGTCCTGCAAGTGGGTGAGTGGAGGCAAGGTCCCTGAGTCCCCACTTTTAGAAAGTAAATCAGTCATTAATGATTAGTTAGGTTCTTTGTAAGGAATTTAGAACAATCTGTGATGTTCAACTCCATGTGTGAGAGCAGCTACATAGCGGAGGCTTAGGGCAGAATTTGCAAGTCCACAGCATTCTGGTCAACTTTGTACGGCTCTGTAATCTCCTATTTCTCCTTTGCTGTGTTGAAGATCTCACTTCCCTGTGTTGGGGTGCATGGAGCTGGCTTCTTCTTGAACTAGGCATCAGTGAGATGTTTTGGGATTTTCACACAACTGACAACAATTTTGGTGAAGGTGAAGACAAATTTCTGGTGTGTTCCAACAGAGGAACTTGGTTGTGGGGCAGTCATAAGCAGCAAGTCACTCTCAGCTGTTTTAGGAAGAGCACCCTCTTGCCTCTCAGGAGCCCAGAGGATGGTCAGAATGGCCCACTAGTGATGCCAGCCAGCAGCTTGCTCACAAGCTGACTGAGGGTCCTTGTGTTTTGTTCTCCCATGATTCACCAGTGTCCCAGGTGCATCTTGTAGGAGAGTATCTAGGCACTTTGTGATGTTTCCCCACTTGGTATGACCATCCATGTTACCTCCACCTGGCTTTGTGACAATAATGAGATCCATCTCCTATTTCCTTTCAATCCTGGATTTAGCTGAGAATATTCCCTCTGTACATGGCCTTAGTGGGAATATCTCCCCATTTGGACTAGCATGTGATTTCAGTGCAGTGGGGCTCCCCTTCCTAGGCATTTTGGTCTTGTGGTTACTGTTTTTAAACTTGCCACTAGCATTG